TTAAAGCCAAAACTTACAGTATTTATAAAAAATCATCAGTTCTGATTTTGATCATCCTGGTCCATCACACTAGCAGTATTATAAAATGTTATCAACTATTGGTGCATCCTAGTCTGTCACACTAGCAATATTGTAAAAGGTCATCAACTTTGGTTCATCCTGGTCCTTCACACTACCAATAATATAAAAGGTTATCAACTTTTGTTTCATCTTGGTCCATCACACTAGCAATAATATAAAAGGTTATCAACTTTTGGTTCATCCTGGTCATCACACTAGCAATAATATAAATGTTATCAACTTTTGGTTCATCATGGTCTGTTACACTAGCAATAATATAAATGTTATCAACTTTTGATTCATCATGGTCTGTCACACTAGCAATAATATAAAAGGTTATGAACTTTTGGTTCATATTGGTCTGTCGCACTAGCAATAATATAAATGGTTACCAACTTTTGGTAAATCCTGGTCCATCACACTAGCAATAATATAAAATATTATCAACTTTTGGTTCATCCTGGTCCATCACACTAGCAATATTGTAAAAGGTTAAATTGAAGAAAGATTAAGCACACTGGACAGAGTTGATAACCTTTTATAAAATCACNAATATAAATGTTATCAACTTTTGGTTCATCATGGTCTGTTACACTAGCAATAATATAAATGTTATCAACTTTTAGTTCATCATGGTCTATCACACTAGCAATAATATAAATGTTATCAACTTTTGGTTCATCATGGTCTGTCACACTAGCAATATTATAAAAAAAAAGGTTATGAACTTTTGGTTCATACTGGTCTGTCACACTAGCAATAATATAAAAGATTATCAACTTTTGGTTCATCCTGGCCCGTCACACTAGCAATATTGTAAAAGGTTATCAACTTTTGGTTCATCCTGGTCTATCACACTAGCAATAATATAAATGTTATCAACTTTTGGTTCATCATGGTCTGTTACACTAGCAATAATATAAATGTTATCAACTTTTGATTCATCATGGTCTGTCACACTAGCAATAATATAAAAGGTTATGAACTTTTGGTTCATATTGGTCTGTCGCACTAGCAATAATATAAATGGTTACCAACTTTTGGTAAATCCTGGTCCATCACACTAGCAATAATATAAAATATTATCAACTTTTGGTTCATCCTGGTCCATCACACTAGCAATATTGTAAAAGGTTAAATTGAAGAAAGATTAAGCACACTGGACAGAGTTGATAACCTTTTATAAAATCACACCACTGTTTCAATATCACAGTCTAAGAGGAAGGTAACTATTTCTATGAACAAAATAATCATTTATATTGTTACATGTGTTGTAATAGGCTTCTCAATACTGACTTGTATGAGCATTACTAAGTGACCATCTGATGCTTTTAAGGAGTAAACAAATGTCACGAAAGTAACCATTCATTATCATAGGCCTAAAACAAGAATGATTCAATGAATGGGATAAACATGAAATGCACATGGCATAATAATATTAAAATTTAACTTACAGAAAGAGTTTGTGAAAATGTGAACTTGATTGAACTGCATTGATGATTAGAACTAATGGCAAGCGCCTGAGGTGACTGAATATCTATGTTCCATACTAGGGACTTTGTCTAGCTGAATAATTATCGACTGCTCACAAATATTCTGTACTGTGAAGTTAATCACACAAGCTAATGCACTATGTACATGCTCTTCCCTCACCTTATAGTTGGGTTCATCCCTAATGTAGCCACCTTCCACCTTGCCAAGCACAGTGATGAGACATGAGACAAGGGGTTGAACAATGACTGCCTCTCGCTGGTATAGTATTGGCTCCAAGGCTTTATAGATGACATCTCCATATCCATTCCAGCCCAGCTCTGTTCGTGTCTGTGCATAGTAAGCAACTCTGCTGTACATAAAATTCAAGGATTTTCAAAGCACTCTGCAGTGACACTGTATAGTCTGCTAAGCAGTTACCAACATTTTGGCAGAACTTAATAGTTTATTGGGATAGCCAAACCAAGGAAATTATGACAAGCTGTACATCTTCTTTTTTGTCATATTTTACATCATTATCATCTCAGACTATTTAGCATCAAGTGGTAGGATGATGAGCAGGAACTCATTTGTATGTTGTCATGGCCTAATCAAAGAACTGTTTTGGCATTTTCGTGAATGGACTAAGGAAAACCATAAAACAGCTCAGTTAGGAGTGCTGGTGTCCCTGTTCAAACTGAGCACCTCATGAATGAAAGATTAGAGCAATACCACTACACCAGCTCACAGCGAAGCTTTACTAACTACTGTATCCATGGTTGGGATGGAAGAATCTCTGGGTTCTAATGTTGGAGAGCTAGTCCCACTCATCCCTATACTTTATAACATACCACCAAAAAGATAAGTAAATTTAGGTTTAAAATAGAAATGAACTGCACAACCCTCATGCCACATGAGGATCAACAGTGAGACAATATTTTATATTGCCATAGGTAAATGTAATGTTGTCCCTGTGCTTAATTAATTAAGTACTATACCATAAAGGCGTATGGGGGAGTAATTGTATAGATCCACATTTTCTTGACATCTGCACTAGCTGGATGCAAGTGGTCAGCTTCACACCCCGGCTGCTTTACCCCCTGGGAAAGAGCCCCCAGTACCCATTTGGATAGGAGGTTGGGCAGACCTCAGAGCCAGCCTGGGCGATTTGAAGAAGTGAAAATTCCTGACCCTACTGGGACTTGAACTCTGATCCCTTGGTCGTCCATCCCATAGCCAGTCACTATACCAACTATGTTATTCAGGCTCCTCGCATATCGCAATGTTTTACCTATGTAGCCAAGTAACGCAAACAATAAGCAAACAGTCCAAGATTACAATCATCTACTAAAGGGAAAACTACTAATTGGTTGCCGATGTAGCAGTATTTCTCATCTGTGATGAAGTTCAAATGCAGAACTTACGACATTGTCAGTTATATGGTTGAGGCATTTAATTCCACATATCCTGTTCTCCAGAACAAAATCATCAAGGATAATGAGGGCGGTTGGAAGTACACTGCTCAGGTGTGGGCTCAGATGAGGACTCTACAAAATAACATAATGCTAAAAATTAATTCACTAAATAGTAAATGCAGTATAATTCATTAATATGGTATTTCAGGCACCCAAAACCTGAATGACTGAGCTTTCTGAGAACTAATTAATCCATTGGTTTGTTCTCTATTACTACAAGATTAACTGTAAACATAATCATAATATTGCATAGAGTAAAACATACTTCTCAAATGTTACCTGGTGTAGTTCTTAATACTGAAGCTACAGGTGACCTTACTGTATAAAGTCAAGTTCTCTGTAAAATATTTTATATGTATCTGCTGATCATTTATTTATTTCAGTCCAGTGTCTGGCTGTGGAAATCAGAACCTAGCATACACAAAAATGGAAAATACTAACATATATCGTTCATTTACCTTGATCTGAAACAAAAGCCACTGGTAACAAGAAACTGCCGCTGGATAAGTTTTCCAAGTGTTCTTCAGCAGTTTCGGACGTAAATACAAAAGTGCTGCTGAAAAAAGCCCTACACGTTTAGATTCATCATCTATCAACAGCTGTAATATGGTTTTGCACTGCCACAGTTTACAAAGGTGGCTAATTATTTCTCCAGAATACTTAATTGTTTCCTCTGTAGTCCACTTATCGGCAACCATGTGTTCGCCGCAGAGTAAAAGTAAGTACACAGCACAATTCTTACTAATCCCTTTACTAGTGTGAGATTCTTCACAACTCAAGTTTTCCGCAATTTGCTCGAGTATGAGTGCCAGACTCTTCAACCTGCTTCCAATGCTTAACAGATATTTCTTATAATCCGACTCTTCGCAGGGCCTTTCGATACCTATTGTCATTTGGGGAACATATGTTTTAAGGACTTCATTTTCAACATGTTCCCATATTTGTTTGGGAATTTCATTACCATCTTTTCTAACAAATTCCAATGTTTCAAACAGCACAGTGTCACCCATATTGCTAACATAAACTGAAAAAAAAAATATATATTATAACAATATAATTGTGCGGTATTTACAAATAATAGTACTGAATTATGAAATGTTGCACTTTTCAAGATTAACCATTTCTTCACTGTCCGCCATGTTTAAATAATCAGGCTGGTCAACATGATAGAAAGTCAGAGACTATAGTAGTATGTTTACCATGAACCTGAATTCCTACCAAGCGTGACAAATGTTTGAAGGGAAAATATGAAAAACAGCCAACGAAGCGACTGTTGTTCTTCCTTATCGTTCCTTATTATCTGCAGCACTATTTTGAATATGAAAACCGGCAACTCTGTTAATGGACGACAAACTGGTTAGAAGAGATAAATATATATTTAATTTCTGATTGGCTTTCTTCCGTGCAAAAAACTAAGAATAATACACATTCCTACCAAGAATATTTTCGCTGGGTGGGAGGGGGGGTAGAGTCCAACTGGGTCCACTCGGCACGGCGGCCACTGATTGGCATATTGTAACCTGCCCCGGGTGATTATGATGATGGAGAATTCGGTGGAATGAAGATTGGCAGGGGAACCGAAGTACTCGGAGAAAACCTGCCCCAGCGCCACTTTGTCCACCACAAATCCCACTTGACCAGACCCGGGATCGAACCCCGGGCCGCCGCGGTGGGAAGCCAGCGACTAACCGCTTGAGCTATTGCACGGCTTTACTAAGAATCTTTCTTAACAAGTAATCCCATCATATCAAGAGCTTATGTCTAGTATACAAGTATGTAGTGTGGGGTCGTTATTAATGTTCACCACACACGCTTGCTATTTGCCTATTCTCACTGATTCGCCCTCATTGTTCGTTCCACCGCGAGTGTACCAGCAGATTCTTGCTCCTCCGTAGTAGGCAGAGTCTTACGGCCGCTCAGCTAGCCTGTCTGGACCGGTCTGGACCATCTGGACGGTGATGCAGTGCTGCGCGCGCCGGTAGAAACGGCTGCCTCAGCCGGTTGCTGGAGTTTCGGGAGCTCCATTCGCTGCCTGGTCTCTGGAGGCTTGCGGCAACTACGTCAGTTGCCTGGTCGCTGGAGGCTGACTGGCTGATGTGGTCACTGAACGATTGCGAAAGTCAAAGTCAAAGTCAAAGTCATGTTGCAACTGACGGTCAGTCAGTCTGTCTGTCTTGGTGTCGAGAACCAGCTGGGGCTCATGACCAGATGTTTTCTTCTTTGTGAAAGTTGCTGTCCTGTCAATTTTGGGCGCCCTCTCTGACGAGAGGTCGGGTCTGTCATTTGTCAGTCTTAGTCAGTCCATTGTCAGTATTGACATATTCATTCATTCATCGGTAATCTGTCAGACGACAGGTCCACAGCCTCTTCCAAAACAGTTTCTCCACTTAATGCGATCTTCTGTTTTTGGAAAGAGACTTTCCAGGAAAAGTGATAATGTGGTAGTTTTTCCATTTGCTTTCCACATCGCAGTACAACAGCCATTCAAACCACTCTGGTCACGCCTCTTGCTATACGAACTTGAACCATCTCAAGCATCATTTGCTCTGTGCTTCAAGTCGCTGCTGATGACGCTGCTTCCGGCATCAGTTTTTGGTGTCTCTCTTCGTCTGATGCCTACCCTTTGACCTGTCCAGCAAGGGAGACCCTGCCAGTAGCTACGCTACCGCTGGTATAGCTCTCAGGGTCCTTGGCACACTCAAACCCCCTCCCCACGACAAGGTGGAGACACCAACGAGGGGGTATTGACATATATTTACAATTTAATTCTAGTCTTAATTCCTATTTCTATGTACAATATATACGATGCCTCTGTCAATCCAGGCTCGGCACAGCAGATTATGCTCTATTTATAGTATTATTTGCTACCACGGCAGACTAGTCACTTGAATGGTCGTATGCCTGACCGCCGCCAAGTTTAAGCCTCTTATACTTTCTATGTCAGGCTTCACCTTGACCAATAATGTGAACATTCTCATTTTCATGATTTTGTATGACTTCTGCTTGTTGCCTGGATAATTTTGTTATATAGTCATATACGTATGGGATTTTTAATGCCATGTGCAAATCGCGGACCGGTGTGCCCCTTGGAAAATTGCCAATGGTGCGGAGAACCTTGTTTTGCAGGCGCTGCAATTTCACTAGATGGGTGTCTGCCGCAAACTCCCAGGCGGCACTAGAATAAGTCATTATGGATCTAATAAGAGCTTTGTGGAGGGTCAATTTAATGTTAGCGCTCAATCGCTCACTTTTGAATAGGGAATATACTCTAATGAATGTTCTGAAGGCCTTGGCTTCGATCATTTCTATGTGGAATCTCCATGTAACTCTCCTATCGAAGATTACACCTAGATATTTTGCACTATTTACAAATGGAATATTTCGTCCATTAAGAGTAAGACAAGACTCAGGCGGTCGATACCCACGAGAGAAGTAAACTCCCCGAGTCTTATCTTCATTCATTTTTATATTCCAGCGCTCACACCAGGTCTCCAATGAGCTGAGACCGCTCTGGAGTTTTCTAATAATAAAACCCTCCTTGCCATCTGACGCATATAGACAAGTGTCGGCCACAAAGAGGGCCAGGTGAACACCATGAGTTTGGAGGGCATCATTTATATACAAGTTGAAAAGAGTAGGGGAAAGGACAGAACTTTGTGGCACCCCTGTTTGCATTTCCCTTGGAGTTGACATTTCGCCTTCAACCGAGACCCTGAATGTATGCTGAGAAAGAAAGGACCCAATAAGTTTCGTCAAACAGTTAGAGAATTCCAATTTTGATTACTTATACAGGAATACTGAGTGCCACGTGGTATCAAAGGCTTTTTCGATGTCCAAGAACACTGCAGCCGTAGACATTTTATTGTTGAAATTAAGGGTCACGTGGTCCGCCAGACTCATACATTGCAATGTCGTGCTGTGACGTGCACGAAAACCAAACTGGCTTGTGTTGAGCAGGCCTCTTTCTTCAATATGTTTACGGAGGGATTTCAAAATTACTTTTTCGAACAGTTTTCCTGTCTTGGACAGGAGGCTGATCGGACGTAAATTCTGAGGAAATTTCGGGTCTTTACCGGGTTTAGGTAAAGTTATTATTTTTGCTTCCTTCCAAGTATTTGGAAAAAGAGAACCGGGAACAATGATTGAATAAATGGGTTAGGTGAACCAATGGTCGTGTTGGAAGGTGCCTGTGGCATTCATTTGTGATGCTGTCAATTCCACAGGCCTTTTTTAATTTCAGGGATTTTATTAATTCCTGAATGTCACATGGTCTGATCCTTAGAGGGGGATAGTCATCTACGGCTTCCAGCAGAGCTTGAACTCTAGCCTCCACCCGCAGTTCATGGTTTTCGTCGCACAGGTCATGTGGCGTGAACTGAATTTCCAAACAGTCGGCAATTTCATTGGCTTTTTCAGAAGGATGAAATTTAATGCCAGAAGAACCATGAATAGCAGTTTGTGCCCTTGGTCCGTCTCTCTTAAGGAGAGATTTCGAAATGGGCCATATACTCTGAGGTGTAACTTCAGCATTACCTATTTATGTTTCCCACCGTTCAAGTGCCTTTTTATGGGTCATTCGCCTGATTGATTTGGTGACCCAATTGATTGCCGTTTTACACGCTGGATCCCTGGTTTCTTGCCACAATTTTCGTAGCCTCTGTTTATATTTTATCAAACGATCTAGACCAGGAAGATCGTTGTTTATGTCCGAAAGTGTAATTTTATTTGTCGACAATCTATATGCCGAAGCAATAGAGGCTGCAAAGTCGTGTGCCGCTTTATCAGCTTCTACCCCTGACTTAATTTCTAGTTTAGGTAATATTACTTCAGAAGCGAGGCTCTGAAACCACTCCCAATCTGTAAATTTTTCAATGGGTTCCGAAATATTCCTAATTTGAACGTGATCCAGTATGTAGAGTACTATTTGTAGGTGATCTGAATCCAGAATATCAGAGACGATGACATCTGACACTCTGATATATTTGTGAACCACAATGTCTAACATGTCACCATTTCCCGCAGGGGAATAATGAGTGGGGCACTGTGGCGTTGAGATTTCAAAATCGCTCTTATCAAATCAATCAATGAGTTTGAAGCCTGAGGGGTTTGAAACTCTGCTATTCCAAAATGGGTGCTTAGCGTTCAGATCACCTGCCAAAATTATTCAGTTATTCAGTGTAGAGGGGGTGGGTTTCCCCATGCACCGCGACTAATAGTCTATTGTACGTCCCCCTTTAATTTCTACTGTCTCCATACCCTACCGATACTGGTGCCCGCTATCTCCCCTTTCTGTCAGCAAGTTCGGTCCTCTACTGTCAGTGGTACCCGATAATTCTCCCCTTTGTGCCAGCGAGGTCGGCCCTCTACTGGCATTGGTACCCGATAACTTCCCCGTCTACCGGAGGCATTGGAAACTACTTGTCTCCTAGAGACATGAGGATCTTTAACGTGCCGTAAATCTACGACACGGGACCCACGGCTTAAAGTCCCTCCCAGAGGACTTGTTCCCTGAAATTTTCCGCCGGGTTTGAACCCGCGTACCTTGAGTCATGAGGTGGGAACGTTACCCCTAGACTACGGAGGCCGCTACTTGCCAAAATAGTCTTACGTCTAAAGCTTAAGAGCTCATCGATGTCAGCATCACTCCAGGCTCTGCCTGGAGATTTATAAGCAGCTGCAAGCAGTACTTCACTATTACCAATTGGTATGCAGACCCCTGTTGCTTCTACTGAATCAAGGGGTGGTAGGTCTACATGGTTATGGGGAATGCCTTTTCTTACTGCAACGGCAGTTCCGCCTTTTCTGCCCGAGTGGCGGTCGATTCTATAAAAGTGGTAATTTGGAATAAAGAACCTCTCATGAGGTTTCAGATGTGTCTCTGAAAACAGGGCCACATCTACGTGTAGGTCTTGCAGCTGTTTACTGAGCTCATAGCGCTGCCTCCCAATGCCGTTCGCATTAAATGCTATGATTTTGAGAGGCCTATGAATTCTAGTGGCCATTTTGGTTCATTAGGTATAATACAGTCTTTGTGATTGCCAATATTTTCTCTTCCTCTGACACAGCACCACTGAACTCTGTCATAATCTTCTATACTACAGTCACAACTCTCAACATATTGTGGAGGGGCTGACTGTTCACAATTGGAGCCCGAACTGACTGACCTATTTGTTGTTCCTGTACAGGGACCGGGACGCTCGGTTTCATGGCTGCTGGTGGAACTGCCACTGGAATTTGGCGAGTCTGAGGTCGCTGCTCCTGTGATGTGCTGCCTCGGAGCACCGCCGCGAAGGAGACTCCAGAGGTAACGATATTCGAGGACAACACTATTCCCGTTGTGGTTTTGGGTGCCCTCTGCGATTTCTTCCTCTGCAGCTCCTCCTTCGCGTGTCTGCAGCTCCGATATTTGGCGGGATGTGGCCTATCTCCCTCCTTCAACTGGAAATTGCAACAAACTGGAGTGGAGGCAGCGTTCTCTTTTTCTGGACACTCTTTGTGCAGGCGGCCACCCCCGCACCACATGCAACAGGGAGGTTGTTTACAATTAGCCCAGACGTGGCCAAACTGTTGGCAGTTGTGACACTGCGTAAGGCCACTCTGTGCTCTATATGCCTCAACCCGGATGGAAATGTGGCAAAGGCTTTGTAGATGGAATATTTCTTGAGATTTTGCCGTCCGGGGTAGGGTGATAAGGAAGAGTGGAAGGTTTCTTGTTAACCTTTCTCCTGAAGGAGACCCTTGGGTGGTTGTCATCTGTTTAATGCTAACCACATCAAATCCCAAGGTCACCAGTCCATCCGAAATATCCTCCGCAGGGGTGTTGTGAGGGAGGTGATGGATTACAGCCTTAATGGGTTTTTGGGACTTCGGAAAGAAGGTATAATAGGAAAGTTTATTGTTGGATAGGTGAGACTTGATGGCTTTGAAATCCGCCATGGTTTTAGTGATCACTTTGGTCCCGTTTCTGGTATTACGGAACTCAAAGTTGCCTTTGACCACATTTTTCAGTTGTTTTGAAACTGAATAAGATTGGTTGTGGACGTTAGTATTATCGGGGGAGACCTACCTGCTTTAACTGGAGCTTCCTCCTTCAGTGAAGTGGCTTCAGCACCAGAAGTGTCCGTTTCCACTGTTACCGCCCTGAGGGGGCGAAGTAGTTCTTGGTCGTAACCTCTGTTTTGGGGTCACCTGTTAACCCATGGCTTGTCATGTCACCAGAGAAGACCAACAAACCTCTCACTGGTGTACCTGGTTTTCTGGGCACTGTCACTTATATCTTTCTCAGTTTGGCAACTGAGGTTCATATCCAAACTGCCCCCCCCCCAACTATAACTACCTGGTCATCTTTACTAAAGTCTTTACACAAATTTCCAGTATCTCCTGTGACACTGCTCAGATCAACATAGGGCTTGAACATGCTAGTCACAGCATTCCCCATTGTATTCTGGAGCCTCTGCCTGATACCCCTTATGGCTACTACCCAACACATGTACCTTATGCTTTTGCTTTGCCTCTAACATAGGCTGATCTACAGAGTCACCATCAGTTTGAGGCTCCAGCACAGATAATGGAAAAGGAACTTTTTTAGGTTTTCTTTGGTAGTTGGACAGTCCTGAATTCTTCAGGAAAATTATCAATTAAATTTAATTCCCCTTTCAAGAGGCTATTCTCAGTTCTTGCAAGTTCAAGCTCCCTGTTCAAACTCAAGATAGTCTCCTCTTGTTTCTTTATTAGCATGGCTTACACTTAGAAATTGCAGTACCAAGGCAATATGATAAAATCACTATTTGTGCCAGCACACACCAAATGAAACCGTGGGCCACTGTCCTCGCACCCTGTCTCCTGGCAAAGCTTCCGCTAGCAAGCCCAACACTTACCTGACCTGACAAATCATTACCTCTTGTGGCCATTATTACCCCTTATGTAACTTACAATTCAGTACTAACAAACGAATGCATTAAAAACCTAACAGGTCTGGTTATCAAGAACGTATGTACTGGCACTATCGTGTTAACAACACACAAAGAACACTGATACAACACTACTTAGGCTATAAAATAGCACACTTCTTGTAGGTTGGGCCTACAGGTACACTTACGAAAAATACAAATACTTACGATATAAATAACACGCTTATTGTTGGTTAAGCTTACCGACACACTAAAGTACAAAGCAAACGTACTTACGATATATCACAGTTCTTGTAGGTTGGGCCTGCCAGTACACTTACGAAAGTACAAGTCACCTTATTTAAAATATAAAACACGTGTAGATTACGCCTACCAGTACACTTACGGCACATGTGCTGGAACCAAATGCAGGTCCTGAAAACTACAGTCTCGAAGCTGAATTGTCACTTGCAAGATTATTAGATTTCGCTTTTGCCGTTCCTGCAGACTAAAACCAACCGCTTTGCCACAGTTAAATTAGGCGGTTTGTGGTATCTGCTCACTAACTCACCAGTCAACCGCGTGGACCGCGTGTGATTAGCTCGTCATTCACGGTCTTCTCGGTCATGCTCACGTCATGCTAGTCATGTTTCTGGTGCTGCTCCCCAGTGGACAGAAATGATACGTATAAATGGATGGTGTGATGCGTTGCGGATGTATTGGTAGTTTGGTGGTGTAATGTGCATGTTTTTGTACCTAATCAGAGTGTTCTGTAGGAAATTATTACCAGCCCTCGAAAAATATTTGATTTTTATAAGGTTTGACAAATTATTAGAAGCAAACACGGTTTGGGTTCGTGGTATTATTTCGCAAGTGCCAATTCTGACTGGGATTCTTCTCCATCGCCCTTTCAGGGTGGTATGTTTATGCTAGATTGCACATTTTTGCAGTTCATGGCCTTTCTCACCTGTTGCATGTTTAAATCCAGCTGACATGGAAATCGCGAGTCCTGGTGATCTAGGGAGACTGAATTGGTTGAAGTCAAAATATCTATATAAATAAAAATGTATAGTGAATATACCTTTGGGGCTTCACGGTGTAAATATGCAGAAAAGGTGCACTGTTTCAAGGATGTAACACCATGTAATCTCTTACCGCCGTTTTGGAAGCAGCACGTTTCTTCAGAACAGGTGAACCAGCTGTCTGAAACGTAGGTAATAATCTCTTAAGACTACCCAGCAGCCCGTAAGACAGTAAGCTTCATGTTCTCTGCTGTGAGAACATAAAATCTCACATCAGAATGCGTTCATAGGCAATCGTAATTCGTTTGTTTCTTTACAGATTTAGGCAACTATTCCCAGTTGGATACTGGTACACTTGCTGATAAAAGAATCTGTGCTACTAGGATTATTATAAGCGAATTCCTTTGGAACCCGCAGAACATGTGTAATAAACAAGTTTCAGGATTACAAAAGATTTTGCATTCTCCTGTAACAGGAGTGCCAAGAATTATGCTGCGGAGAGCTGAAGAAATATTTCCATCTGTTAGAGAAAGCATGGTGAGTGTGGTTGTGTGCATAGAGAAGAATTCTGTTATTATCAGTCAATTCTCTTGGCAAAAAGAAACAAAATATTTTATGATGAATTTGTGATAGTTTTTATAATGCATTTGGTGAGGGTTTTTTAGTAGATCGTTGTATATTTTATAACAGTTTGGTATATTGTAATAGTGATGAATTCAAGGAGATTGGTATGGGTAGGTTATGCAGCACACAACATGAGAATGAGAAGTGCATACAAAGATTTGGACAGAAAACCTGAAAGAGAGAGACCACTTGAGAGACCTAGGTGCAGATGTAAAGATACTATTAAGACAAATTTTAAAAACAATATCTGGGGTAGTTCAGACCGCGTTTGGTTGACTCAGGATACAAACCTGTGATTGGTACATGTGAACATAGTAGTGAACTTTTAGGTACCATAACAAGCAGATATTTTCTGTACTGGCATAAGGACCATTAGTTTCACAGGAAGGTTCCTGCACCATAGACTTCATAGTTTCGAATGATTTTGAAAGCTGTAGAGAAGAAATGTAGAAAACAGCTGTTTTGAGTTGTGTATATTGAAAACCAACCATTATTACCATTCCCCTTTCTTTGTACTTATGTGCTGGTTTCAGTAGACCACTTGACTTCTATCAGAATCATGTTGCGGCAATAACTGAGGCAACCAGAAACTGCACATTTGAAGTCAGTCCACTGCTCCAAATCAACAACACAGCTTCCACTGTTCACAGACTATTTATTCAGAAGCGAAATATTACAACCTCCTTTGCAAGCACAGAGTAATGTGGCCCTTTAATATTATCATATTTTAGCGGTTCAAAGTGAAGGACTGATGAATTTAGAGAAATATAGGAGTGCAGCCCAATGACATTTGCCTCCAATTAATTTGAAACACCAAGTTTTTTGAAGATTGGTCTCCTGCGGGAGTGTCACTCCCCCAAGAAGGATTTGAATTGACGGCCTCTCTCCCAGACAAGAATTCATTTCTTATTGGCTGATTTTAACTAACCAAAAACGTCATGGTATCAGGATAAGCCAATCACATAATGACCTTTGAGAATAAGAGAGTTCCCAAGATATAGAACTCAGAACCCCACATGTGAGAGCAGTTATTTTCTCTAGTTTAGGGTCCAGTTACACTCTTCCGAAGACACTTTATGACAGCTATGCATGTCAACAAAAGAAAATTCACATCTTCAGAAAACTACAGACTTACCTTCTGTGGTGACGTCCTCTTCCAGTCATCCAACTGAATGTAAAGAAAACAAGGCAATTGTTTTCTGTCCAGATATGAAAAACAAGTCATAACATGCTAATAAATCAGCCTTGTCATTAAACCAGTCACCCTTCCAAAATGACTAAAGAGGCCCATAGCATCCACAGAGAACTGTAACAGGTATGGACTGTCACATCATAGCAACAAGAATTTATTGTGATCTTCCAGGAATGCATCTTGTGTTATTCTATAAAATCGCCTTTACAATTGTTGTCTCAGCACAACACCCATCAGATGCTCGCTCACACTTCACCTTGTTCAAACATGTGATTTGTATTATTAATCCACCCAATAATGAAACCTACAATATGTTTGGTTACGAAGTATGGATGGAATGAAAAACATGGCATCCTTGCTGTGATTGACGAAACCCGTATTCCGACTTTAAGAGTTTCAAATCTCAGGTTTCTTTGCACCAATCTCATTCAAACTTGGCGGCTGCACAGAGTCATCTATAGGGAACATAATGAAACATTCATTTCAGTGGCTGCATTCTTCTGCCCTCTAGCTTAAGAAATGTAAAAAGTTGCATCTGCACAGCGAGGCACGTGCTCCATGGTCATGTGACGTGAGTATTTCACAGGGCTAGTAAAAATTGCTTCCTATAGTGCACGGTGCTTTTTGTAATATTTTTAAATAACGTTGTGGACTTTGGTCAACATGTGACATAGTGATAAGACTAGGATAGTGAATTATGTACTTTTTTGGCCATCTTGGACAACCCTGATTTAAATCGACTTTCCCCTGTAAAAAATACTGAATAATTCAACATTTTTTGCAACTTCTAATGCCTGTTCCCTGTCTGAGGTAAGATTAGTTACATTTTATCACAAATTTTCATACTTTGCACTTAAATTATTTATAAAAGATTTATTCAAAAATAATTCAGCACAGAGGGTACTGAGAGTTACTTAACATACTAGCAGTAAAAGGGTTAAGGAACTTTTTAAACTGTTGAATTGTGCTGTGTATATGGTCTCATATAATTTAAGTGCTTATTACTGGATGTATCTGAGATTAGTTTAAGTCGTGTATGAAATATGTATTGAAAATGCTTAAAGACATATTTCATGATTTTTAATTTTTTCATATATATGTCTTTAAGCATTTTTTTAAATGTAAGACTTTTTCACTCCAGTCTTGATACATATTTTGTATATTACTTAAACTAATTTCAGATACAGGACTGAATATATTAACTGAATAGGAAACCAGATACATATAGTAATAAGCATTTAAATTATGTGAGACTATATATAGAGCACAATTCAATAGTTTAAAAATATTCATTAAGTGGTACCACCTGATGGTGGCTTTAAGAGCCGAAACATGGAGCGCGATGGAATATGAGACCCATAAACTCATTGCATGGTGAAGCGTGAGTGAGTGTTTGATGGTTGTTGTGTTAAGACAGGAACAATTGTAAAGGTGATTTTATAGAATGTATCGTGTTTCATGTAATGGGGTTTTACAGTCATGATTAATAAAGATATGTTGCTTTGCAGAATTATACAACTTTAGAGAAAGTTATGCATAGTCCATGTGGAGAGACATGCCCAACAATGCATGATGCGAATCACACCATGAACATAAAAGCTGAGGAAGTGTCAGATGCAGAAGGGGAAGGGACTTCTGTGACAACGACATTTGTGAAAATAAAGGCTGAAACTGCAGAGGAAGTCCCAGACACAGAAATTGAAGAGTCTCCTATGCTGATACCATTTCAGAAAATAAAGGCTGAACTTGCTGAAGTCCCAGATGCAGAAGTGGAAGAGCCTCCTATGCCAATACCATTTCAGAAAATAAAGGCTGAACTTGCTGAAGTCCCAGATGCAGAAGTGGAAGAGCCTCCTATGCCAATACCATTTCAGAAAATAAAGGCTGAACCTGCTGAGGAACTCTCAGATGCAGAAGGGGAAAAGGTTCCCATGTCAACCGCATTTGTGAAAATAAAGCCTGAACCTGAGGTGAGCTGTAAATTCACTGGTATGTCCACTTTTAGGCAAGTACCACAAATGTGCAGGAGTGCCAGCTGTCTTTCTTATCTCCACTTGTCTTTAAACATGAAACAGCTCCACTATGTTGAGTGGTTTCTGAAGAGCTTTTTCTGCAATATCTCTAGATGAATGCAGTTTGTTGAATGTAGTGTACTGTTCTCATTTTCTTTCGAGCAGACCTAATATAAATTAAATTAAATATTACGTAAACTGAAGAATGCTTCAGATAAATATTCCACCAGCAAAATTCTTTCACATTTTCATTGTCCATTGAATTCAGTAAGGTTTGGTTTGGTGCTACATCCTAGGGTTCCCAGGATCTATTTATTGAACATCTTATTTATTGCTCTTGTAACTTTGATGCAGTTTGTATCTGTATAATGGGAGTTTTCATGGAGTCCAGGATCTGTGACAGGATAAATAATGATTCTCTAAACATTGATGACATTGGTTGTCGGATTACATAGGCTATGTAGGACATTTCGGATTTCCAATTGTTTGAAGTACATTTAACATACCTTACACTTTGGAAGTTCCCTCTCCTGCCTTCAGGTGACTTGGTTCTCATTACACTGGCAGATTTTATATAATTTTGTATTGGACAGACAGGACAGTCACTAAAGATTAGATACAAGAAACACATACAAAGTACAACAAACAGTAGGGAGGAGTCGGCATTGGCAGTCCATGTTCTGAAATATAGACACCAGTATGGTGAGATAAAAAATGAATGGATTTAATGAAACACACAAAAAAAAGGGGCTATTAATCAAAGAAAATTTCTGCATGTGCCTATGCAATGTAGAAAGCTAAATCTATTTATATATGTGAAAAACAGAAACAAAAGAAATCTGTTCAGTACAGTAGTCAGACAGGATAATGCACATACACCTAACTATAAGGAGTACGTAATTGGTTGAGTCACTGTGCAACAAGCTGGAAGGTTGCAGGCTTGTTTCAGAATAAGGTTGTTGGATTTTTTATTTGACCTAATCCTTCCAGCCACATTATGGCCCTGGGCTCAACTCAGCCTCTAACAGAAATGAGTGCCAAGAATCTTCCTGGTAGTAAAGGGCAGCCAGAAGGTAAGGCTGACAACTTTGCCACCATCTGTGAACCAATTGTCTCGAATATGCGGGAGCCTTGACATCTCACCCTTTGGGCCTCTACGGCCTGATGACAAGGATAACTGTACCTTTTTACACATAACTGTATATTAAACACTATACATCTTCACAAAGTTAATAGAAAGTCCGTCGAGTGTAACAATTTGTAGGTCACTTCTTTATCACTTCTGCCTTACATGTTTCGGTTTGACACAACCATCATCAGAGGCACTTACTACAATTATGAAAACACTGTCGTTGTTTATGATGTTCACAGTTATGTTTGTTGTGTGGACACTGCTACAATATGTTGACGTGTAAAAGCACAACACTTGCTAGGATAGTTGAGTACACTATCAATTCTCACTTTCCATCCGAAACTGTTTTTAAGTTAAAACGCTAATTTTAAAATATTTAAAACATTTGATGTAAAATGCTAAGCTCCTCCTTGTTAATTCATCCCGAAGATGGGAGATGTCAGCTTGAGGTTGTATGGCTTATGGTTAGATGTTTCCTATGTGCTGTGTGTTGTGTACACAGTGTACTGTGTTTTCATAATTGTAGTAAGTGCCTCTGATGATGGTTGTGTCAAACCGAAACATGTAAGGCAGAAGTGATAAAGAAGTGACCTACAAATTGTTACACTCGACGGACTTTCTATTAACTTTGTGATTGATAGTGTAACGGACCAAAAATGAAACATTTCAACAACAAAAAAACTATACATCTTCTTTCCAGTTCCACCCCAGACACAGCCACATTACCAGCACAGCACACTATAGCAATGAATGCCAGTTATTAAAAATTTACCGTAGTTAGTTAGTTAGTTAGTTAGTTATTGGAGAGGGTGGGTTTCCCCATGCACTTAGACCAGTATTGGTCCATTGTGCTTCCCGCTTTGATATTCTACCAGTCTCTATACCCTACCGATATTGGTGCGTACCATCAGTCCCGACCGAGCCAGCGAGTTCAGCCTATACTGGCTTAGCGGTATCTGTAATGCTTCCCCCATCTATCAGAAGCGTTAGAGACTACTGTTGGGCGGGAAATGTCCTTGAATTTGGCTCAGTGACCTCCTTTGGAGATACGAGGTTCTTTTACATGCCGTAAAGCTACGACACGGGACCCACAGCTTAAAGTCCCCCTGGAGGACTTGTTCCCTGAATTTTTCCGCCCTTAAAAATTCCATGACCTCCACCGGGTTTGAACCCGCTACCACGAGTCATGAGGTGGGAACGTTACCTCTAGACTACGGAGGCTGCTTAAAATTTACAGTAAATTCAGTGTCGTCCTCCTCAAACATAGGCTAAAGGAAACTAATTACACCATGTTTTATTTGAAGACTATAAACCAATGATATACCAGTTATGTTCTGCACAGAATGTAGATAGGAAAAAAGGAACACAAATAGAAACCAGAATATTTGCAAAATTATGCACATTATCGGCAATTATACGTAAGCAAACAACTCAGTGCACTCTCAGTTACTGAGGGTTTGAAATATTATGTAAATATTACAAGCAACCTCATCTCTAACAAGTGAGCCTCTCATGGTTGCCCTACAGGACTGACACATGTAAGGCACATTTTAGCTAATAAATAAGTGTATAAAAACTACATGATATTTATACCTGATGGTTTTTATTACTTAAATATCAATGTAAGTTATAACAGATGAAATGCTTCATAAAATTTGTAAAATAACCTTTCATAATTAAACATAGCATGTTTGTAAGAACTGTTGGGTTGAAGATGCAAGGATAACGCAGCAAGGAATCTGCAACAAATAGGATCTTCATTTTCCCTTGGGAGACAGTCGTCAGATAATGCCACTGAGGCTAGAATTGCTGCAGCCCAGGAAGTTGCTCTTTGAGTGAAACAGTTCACATGTGAATGAAAGAATATCCTCTACCAGCAGAATCTTAGAGATTGGTTACAGCTTTTATTTCATACTATATCCCCTATGTTCACATTGGCAGTGTTTCATCTGCATGTTATCTTCAGGGAAATGGAGTGCTGCAAGGGTCAGCTTTAAGGGAGACCTTGTTTGCAGTCATCATGAATAGGATGGTAAGTGTGGCTGCTCCATGTTTTGTCAACATTATTGTATGTTCATGACATCACAATGTACTGTGGTTCCTGAAGCAGTTATACTGTCAGACATGGGCTTCATATCACTCGTGTGATCCACGCTGGGTTCTGAAGAGAGTTTTGTTACTGGACTATACCGAAGGAATAAGTATGCTTCAAGCCAGATCGGCATTGCAGACAAAACTAGTTTTTTTTACATGCCTCACAATTTGATTTCGAAGGGAGAAAACAAGTGGCAGTGAAAACCACAGGATACAAAAAGTTACATGTTACTATCATGCTGTGAAAGGCAGTGCCAAAAGAAAATTTTTGCGAAGATATAATAGTTTGGGCCAGAGAAAATGTATGCATGATATGAAAGTTAATGGAAGTCTGGTTTGGGTGTGTATGGGAACATTGTGCTGGTATGTTATCGAAGGTACGGAGTATGCTTGCAATGGATGCATTTCATGCCCATCTCTCCAATAGAATCAGAAATAGGTTAAGGAACAAAAACACTGATCTAGTGATAATTCCTAATGGCATGAGAAGTCAGTTACAACCACTTGATGTATCATTTAACAAGCCAATCAGGAATCTTTTACGTGAACACTATGATGGCTGGCTGAATAAAAACAGTCATATATTGATGCCTAGTGACATAATAAAAAGAACAGCAGCATCAGTAATAGTGGAGTGGATATCAAAAACTTGGAAAGAGGTCCCAGTCAATATTCTAAAATCGTTTTTAATATCCTGTTTAATGTGGAAGATGGAACGCGAGATGACATTCCATGGGATGACAATGAACAAAGTGGCAAAGGTGAATCTTCAGAAAATGAAAGTGCGGCTAAAGTATCATTGGACAAACTGTCTGATTAAATAAAAAAGATGGAAAGGAATATGCATATAGTGAATTTTTTAATTTCCATTTCATTCTGCCATATTTTCCATTGCTTTTCACTTTAAATGTGTTATAAATGTTTTGTTATTGATGAGTTTTAACACTTTGCAGACTGGTGATTTAAATATTTTAATCACCCTGGGGACCGGCATTTTTCTACCTACTACCCTAACTTGTGCACTGTTCACTTTAAAAATTAATATAAAATCTCCTAATTAATTTTATGAACTAAAATTTTTTGAGAACACTTGTGCTTGAGAGTGTGATATTTCTGGATACATTCCCCTTTGTGAAGTGGCATTACACGCTTGGAAATGAAGACAGTCATAGTCCTTTTTTTGTGAGCTGCACAAACATGGCATTGCCTAGAAGGATGCTTCCTCTTGGAATGTTCACTCTTCACAATTTTCATGAGGGTATGTTTCCGTGTGGTCTGTAGCCCAGGCTTTTGCCACATTCAGCAGAAATGTCCTGTATTTCAATTTTGAATGAGGGCTTAGCTTTTTGAAAACAAAAATGAATTGAAAATGGCACAATTTATAAGCTACAAGGCAACTTTCTTTGTCCACTTTACTGTTTTCTGAGGAAGAGAATAATAGGCCAAGTACTGATCAACTCTGTTAGCTCCCTTCATGAACATATTATACTCGGAAATACAAACAGGCTTCTTTACCTATCCATGTCTCCTTTGAACATCAACCATGCTCGAATTGTGAAATGTGGAAATCATATTCACAATACGACTATCCATCCAGGACTGAAGAAGAATATCCCCTTTCCTCCTGAATGTGGTTTCACCACGTTTCAGGGATTTACATCCCTCTTTCAGATCTGGAGTGAGGCCTCTGTTCACTCTAATTCTTCCACAGACACTTACTTTTCTCGCAAGTAAGTGTTCTGCAGTTGCCACACTAATAATTGTCTTGATAGACATGGTAATTTTGATCAAGATAGGGTTCCAAAACGGAAAGAATAGTTTCTTGTAATTTCTTTCCTTCACCAGAATAAAATTCTAAATTTCCAGTATAGCCTGAAGTGCCTTCAGTAACTACACGAACAAGTAGGCCACACTTTGTGAGTTTCCCAGGATTATATGTTCGCATATTGCACTACTCACTGACAGCTTGCTATGTACAGCTTGAAGAAATAAAGGCATTTATTTTCCTTTGCAGGGGCATTCAGTTACAGCTAGATCACATAACTGATTAGTCAGCAAACATTCCAGAGGCTTATCACACAGCTGCAGGCAGCTACGCGCAAGCTGGGTGGCGTCAGAGCGATGTATAGTATGTTGCAACTTATCATGTTCTAAAAACATATTAATACGCGACCGGTCCACCACGTTTAAAAGCGAAAAACGTATTAATGCTTGCACGGTCCGCAAAGTGTTAAGTAAATACACCTAATTTTTTCCTAAAACCCTGATTTAAAAATTGGATGTGTCTTAAATTCTAGGGTGTCTTATATTCAAAGCAATATGACATTTCACCTCCAGCTTGATTCAGTTCTGCCGGAATTTGATCATTACCTGGGTGATTTATGTTTTTTTTTTAACTTTGCAACAGCAATTTCATCTTCACGCAGCTACAAGCATATCACCATTCTCATCCTTTACTAACTTAGTTCTAGGTGGGTAATCCTTCTTAAATTTATTTATTCCTCTATACTGGTCTCTATTGTTCTTCTTACTGTTCATTGCAAGCTCATGAATTTTGTCTTTCAGATATTACCTCTCTCTATTCCTGAAATGCCTGCTGGTTTCACGTCTTACGTTGTTCAGATTATCCCCATTTATTGTGCTTGGATCGTGTGACTACTGTAGTTTGTCTTGTTTCCTTTTATCTAATAGTCTGAGCATCATTTGTTGAGCCATGGCTTATTTTGTAATATCCTAAACTCACTTTGGCTGAAATTTTGGTGTTCTCTCTAATGTTTGCCAAGCTGTAATCTACACCATTGCCTGACTAATTTTTCCAAAGAAGCGAACCTATTTGTGTTTTCAACCTGATAATTTTCTAAATGTCCTTGGGATCCAAAATTATTTCTCTTGATAGCAGAACTTTCATGTTACTTTCTCTCATTTTGCAGAGTATTGTGAATGAAGTTCAGCCTGCACATGGTGAGCAGCGGCCATATTGGTGTTGTGTGTGTAATAAGTCTTTCAGTGGTCAGAGTAATCTGAAGAAACATCAGCGCATACACAGTGGGGAGCGGCCATTCTGCTGTGACCTGTGTAGTAAGTCATTCACTCAGCAGGGTCATCTGAAGACACACCAACGCATACATAGTGGGGACCGGCCATTTTGCTGTGATGTCTGTGATAAGTCATTCAGTGATCAGAGTAATCTGAAGAAACATCAACGCATACACAGTGGGGATCGGCCATTTTGCTGTTATGTATGTAATAAGTCATTCGGTGATCAGAGTAATCTGAAGAAACATCAACGCATGCATATGGCTATTTTGCCGTGACGTGTATAATAAGTCATTCAGTCAGCAAGGTCATCTGAAGAAACATGAACACATACATAGTGGTGAATGGCCATTTTCGTGTATCTTGTATCTTTATTTTCATTTCCATAAATCCTTACTGGCTACCAAAGCCGTCGGAAGTGGAACATGTCACAATTTACATTCATTAGTTCTGAGAACAGAAACTAGTCCTCTTTAACAGCCACGTTCATAAAAGTAATGTAGCCGTCCGCCGACGTACAGCTGCCACGACTTTCGCTCGAACTTGACTTCTTTATCCCAGGGATATGGCTGCTTCGGATATGGGAGTGGAACACACTTCGGGGTTAATAATTCAGGGCTCTCCAGAATACACTGTGTATTGTGTATTGAAGTCATAATTTCGAGTTTCATTCAGTGATCAATATTTACATTGTCCTCCAAGCTCGCTGCTCCATCCATCCTACTCACTACCCCTACTGTCAAAAACTTCTCTGTTCTCTGTCTACATTTCAACAGCCATCCTCCTCCACCCCCTATAACCGACTTCTTTTTCTCTTTTTACAAGTCCCCCAGTTGGCTTTAAAAAACGAGAAAATAAAAAGAGAAAGCCAAGGGTCAAGCCTGGCATCTGTCCTACATTCGTATTTTTCGAGAAGCCCATCAACTTTTTTAGGTCTTCAAGGCACACGAGCAGGGAACCCAAGACCCTCCTGACCGGTCCCGCACAAGGTCATTTCATGGGTTTGTGACACTAGGAGCAAATAGGCGACGTTAGGGACAATAGTGACGCCCTAAGCCTAAGGAGGACAATAGCCGAATTACAACTAGACGGTCCCAGGATGGTATCTCGCCAGAGGAGCATCTCTCATGGTGTTAAACAATGCATAAGTTGTTCATACCCTTAATTAACCTTTTACGGCCGGACATTTAAATTGTCGGTAGCCCCTGTACGGCCGGAATTTAAATCGCCCCAATTGATGATCTTTGCAAACCTTGAGAAAAAAATACATATTTTCCGTTCTATGCAACATAGAAATATGAACTAAAAAGAATCTGAAAGACAAGAGAATTTTCTACATATATGTAAAAGAT